TCCGTAAGGCTATTTTAAGCACTGTGCCGCTTTGCTTCCAGATCAGAACTGAAGTTATTACTGCCTGCGTGTTTGGCTTTCCTTTCAGTTTATTAGAGGCAGATAATTGCTTGGCACTAGATTGCCAATAAATACAGACAGTTGCTGCTCAACAGGTGTAAACTCAGTGAAGTTGGGCTTTATTTGCAGGGCTGGTAGTACTTCCAGTTCTTCAGCTGTGGTAGGTTTGGCAATTAGGAATGGTGAAGACAGAGCCCTTAGCACAGCACCTGAACTCCCACAGCCTGGGCAGCAGTGGCAGCTCCTGTGATGGCTGCTGTACCGCCGTCCTCCAAGCATCTCTGTGCTGGTCCCTGCAGCCCTGGCAGTGAATTGCCTTTGTGCTCTGCAATAAAAGCATCCACAGGGGCTTTGTGAGGCAGTTTTGCATGACTAGCTAGGGAAGTGGCACCTGGCAGAGAGAGAAATTGTCCTCACCTTCATCTTATCGTCTGACTTCTCAAGCGGTGAGAAAAATAGAGCTAACTGAAAGACAAAAATCTCTCATAGGAGAACCCTTAGGCTATTTTGTGGAGGAGATGTGGTGTTTGTGGAGAGGGAAGGGAGAAGGGAAGGGAGTAGGGAATTGATGTGAATCCAGAAACCTTTATTTGGGACGAGAGGTCTTGAAAATATCCAGTCCAAAAGAAACTCTCCAAATATTGAATATATGTGTCTCTGCAGCCTTCAGCTGATCACATCAGCTTGGTGCCCTGTTTTCCATCTCAGCTGAGGCAGTGCATGGGGATTGCAGGTAGTTGGGGAACCCAGGCCACGAGCTGTTTCTCACTGTCTGCAGGTCCTGAGAACTCCTTTGGGCAATCCTAATGCCAACTCAGCTGCACTGTCTGTTTATAAGTAGATCAAGAAATTGACATGCAATGTCATGATTAACTGGGTCTTCTTGCCTGTGGGTATTAACAAAGAGCAAATTTATTTCTAGTTGAAAAAGCAATGGCGGATTTTTGCTATACTCCGCAAAGGAAAACTCAATTTACAGACCAATGATAGTCCTTCTCTATGCCTCAGTATCCCTCAACTTATAGGAGTGCCCACCTTGCTGGAGTAGATGAATCCCTGGAGTGGAAGAGCTGCATCCTTCAGTGACAGCAGTGGCTGTCAGAGCAGCATCCTGAGGAAGCAAGACCCAGATCAGAGCCTATAGAGGTCCGTAGGAACTTTCATATTTCTTCCATTTACCTTTGGGTCAGGCGCCATGTGCAATGAAGTACTGGTGGCAGGGTTTCAGGGTGGATTATCAGGGACAAACAAACTGGGGACATGGTAATCCATATTGAAAAGCACTTAATTACCCCATATTTGGAGCAGATGACACTGTGGTACGTGTATCATCAATATGTCAGCATGGTTTGCTTTTCATAGGAGTTTATGTTCCCAGCAGGCACTGAATGCCTTTTCTGCCTGATAAATGTCAAGTACTTAAAGCAATCTTGCCTGTTCCTCTCAGGAGATTGCCAAATAATCTCCTTTCATTGGCTATGGGCTCTTGCCAGGGCTTCAGCATTTGTGCACATTTATCCCTGCCAAATGTTGGTAACACAGGAGCTGTATGAATACTCCCTGCTCCTTTTGCTAGCTTTGCACAGCTCTGTTCAGTTTCAGGTTTCCTATTTTTTCCTGTGATATTTTGGAGTAGAGCAGGAATTTGTGTGCAGGTGTTCCATAACCGTGGGTGCTGTGAATTCAGCCTATTGAGCAGCATTTCAGAGTAAAAACCTTTGTTCAATAAACGTAGTGTCTTGCATCATAGCATTCTCAAAGCTAATTCTGTTCATCTCCTGAATGCCCTGCTGCAGCTGAAGGAAGTTCCCAACAGGTGTTGTGCAACTCCTTTCTTCCCAATCATAATAAAAGATTTCTTTGCTGCTCTATATCCTCTAGGAAATCTTACTGCACCAAATGTAAATACTGAGTAGCAGATTGGAGGTAACTCTATAAGGTATATATAAAGTATTTAAAGTATTTAGTTTTAAATTTTAGGTTTAATAGTGCGGTTTATCATGGAGAGAAAAGGATCTTCATAACATATCATCTGGAAATAGATGCTTTAATAAAGGAAACTGGCAGAGAAAGAATGCTTTGAATGGAAAGAGGAAAGCAGATCTTTCACCTTGTCATGTTTTATGCTGTGGATCATATGGCAGGGCCAGATCATTTGACCTTTTTGTTGATAATGTCACCAAGATATTTTAGGCTAATGCTACATATTGTGCAATGGCAGATGAGAATGCTATGTGTGTCAGTGCAGCAGTTAATTTCAAACCATGCAAAAATACTTTACAAGATGAGATGGCAGAATGTCACTCATTTTACCATGACATTTCTCATTTCCTTGTCTATAATGTAATAATGTCTGAAAGTTGTTTGTGTAAACCCCAGCGCTTCGAGGGGCACAGATCGCACAGCAGAACCTCCTCAGCTTGCAAAAAAATGGTGAAAATAGAAGGAAGAAAGGGGCAAATTATATTTCTAGCAATTTCTTGGAAAACATGGCATTCTTAAACACTTTTATTTTTAAATAAACATCAGTTGAAACTAGCATTGAATGGCATCCAGCACAAGAGCATTTTTTATTACTTTGCTGTCAGTAACATTGCTCCAGATAAAAGATGGAAGAGTGGTGATACACAGCTGTGCGACAGAGCTTAGGAGATGTAGATGACAGAACAGGGAACACGGATATACGAATGGCAGAGGAATAGGAAACGCTTCTATCTCAGGTATACGTTAAGGATGTGCATGGTGCATAGGGAGCTGAAATTTGCAGAAAGCCTCTTCTTCCAAAATAGGTGATTTCGCAAAGTCTGCGTTTTAATGTCATTGTTTTAATGACACCAATCTGAAGAAGATTGCATTTGCCAGAGTTGTAGATCAGATTAAGGAATGTGTGGAGAGAGGACTGAGCTCAAGCTGATGTCAGTAGAACTCGTATGAATGTGATATACAAATAATATACTAAATAGAAAGAGAATGGTGGTTTAGCTGGAAGCAGAGCAAGAAAAATCTGATCGTATTGTCAAATACATCAGGAGTAGTATTTTCTGTAAAGCCCAAATGATTCACGTAGCCTACATCTCCTTCCCCAAAGTCTATCATAAGACATTCAAGAAAATTAATTTGGGTTAATTAAAAAGACAAATTTAAAGTACATTAGGATATATCCACAGAGTGAAAACTATCAAGCTACCAAATACGCTTATCTGTAGTAGTTTTTGCATGTCCCCAGCCTGCTCCAAAGTGGAGCACATTAATTGGAACCCTCGTGAAAGTATAATCTCATTCTTTGTGGGTTTTTTTTTTCCTTTCATTTCTGGCTAGTTTTCTTTTTGTTTTTGCTCTGTTGTACATTAGTTATATGTTAGATGCATGTTATTAATGAACAGCAGTCCTGTTACTTCATTTGTAAGCTCACACGAATATCCAAGTCTCCTTAGTCCCAAACAAACCTAGGATCTTGTTTAACAGCTGCCAATATTTCTATGCCTTTTAAGAAGAACTGAAGAATTATTTAACAGATAAAGCAGAAGGATGACAAAGTAGTAATGCTGGCTTTGAATCTTCCTCTGGCATTGACCAAAGCTCATCAGCAAAATGCAGTCAGCATCCTTGCAGGCCATCAAAACACTGCCTTGCAACTGGCAGAGCCACTGGCTTTGGGAACACACTGGAAGCTGTTTCAAAAAGAGTATTTTTAACTCCATGAGTGCTGCTTGGTTGATTTAACATCAGATATTCACTAGCTGCTATCTGATTGTTGGGTCAGCAAATGGGATCTAGAAATTCTCTGAATTCTGAGCCTGCAGTGATAGATCTGTGGCAGCAAATTACATAGAGCAATACTATCTGGTAAGAACAGAAAGCTGCCATTCTAAGCCTGGCATGTAGTTTACAAGTTTAGGAGAAACTTATCAAGAACTGTTTACCCTACAGGAATAAAAAGTAGGCTGAGTATGTGTAGTAAATTTCATTTCTGAATTAGTTTGTTGAATCCACGTAGGATAAAAACCGACTTCAGCTAAATATTTGATGAGGTACTCTATTAACCCCAACATTTAGTGAGATATTTCATTAAGTATTTGTGCAAAAAGAACAAAATGAGTTTCATTTGTCTTTAATTCATCAAGGATAATTTTAATAATCCTTAACATTTTTGAATGAATTTCATAGTAATATTTTGATTTCTAATTTCACAGATAAAATGATCTATTGTTTCTAAATAAACATGTTTCAGAAGGATCTCAATCTATGAAGTATTTTGTTTCTCTTGACTTCACTGAAGTCTTGTGTATTCATAGGACTCTGAATTCAGATAAATGATTAGAATTATCTCAACAGGACATTTTGCAATAGTTTTCGTTAGCATTTCCTTTCCTCTTCAGTGCTGAGGCAATAGTACTTTATGCAAGATGTTACTGTAAGCAAAAAAGTCTTGATTCATCAATGTGTTACTGCTGAATTGCATCACTGTCATTCCAGTGTGAATGTCCAGGATCTTAAGTGTTCTCTTACAGCCATAATGAGTTCATTTGGATACTTAATTTTATGTCTTTGGCAACTTCTGGGGTTTTTAAAATTCCACAGTGATATTTCAAAAGCATAATGATTACAAATGGAAAGTCCTCCTGTCCAAAGAGTTTGGTAGAGAATAGTTGTCTCAGAGGAGGGGAAACATTCATTAGCTGCTGACTATTGGAGAGTCACAACTTCTTGGGGGAAGATAAGGAGTGTTTTGAATAGGGTGCTATTTTTGTAGTGTTGTACTGATACACTACCAGAAAAAGTCAGCAACAGGCTGGTCTCATGAAATCCATTCTAGAATTCACTAGAATTCTAGAATTCTAATTCATTCTAGAATTCTAGGATTCACTGTTACAGTGATCCTGTGTTTGACAAATATTGTTAAATATTGGTGATGAATTTATATTTTGTTCTGTTCACAGTGTCAGCCAAACCAAGACCTCACAGTGATGAATATACAAAGAAGATTCCACCTCCTAAGCCGAAACGAAATCCAAACACTCAGTTAAGCACATCTTTTGATGAAACTTACATCAAAAAGCATGGCCCTATGAAAACACCACTCACTAGGGATGCGTCCTTGTCACAGGTCAGCAGTCCTGCCCCAGACACAGAGGAAGAAGAGCCTGTTTATATTGAAATGGTTGGGAATATACTCAGAGACTTCAAAAAAGATGAAGATGACCAAAGTGAAGCAGTCTATGAGGAGATGAAATACCCTATATTTGATGATGTAGGCCAAGATTCAAAATGTCAATGTGAATACGACCATCACACGTGTTCTTCTCAGTGTGCTACTCCCACAGTGCCTGACCTCGATTTCACCAAGACTTCAGTGCCATCTACTCCCAAGGGCTTGCTTTGTGATATACCCCCACCATTTCCAAATCTGCTTTCTCACAGACCTCCACTGCTGGTGTTCCCACCAGCACCAGTGCAGTGTTCCCCAAATTCTGACGAGTCTCCTCTAACTCCGCTGGAGGTCACAAAGCTTCCTGTTTTAGAAAACGTGTCTTACATAAAACAACAAGCTGGAGCTTCTCCATCTTCATTGCCACCTCATACACCAGGCCATCAAAAACTGGAGAAAGAGCAGATGGTATCTCATGGAACTAGCACCCCTGGGCACACCTCTTCACCTCCTCATCCTTCTACGTTATACAGAACACAGTCTCCACATGGTTATCCTAAAAGTCACTCTGCCTCACCCTCTCCTGTCAGTATGGGTAGGTCTCTTACCCCTTTAAGCCTCAAAAGACCTCCACCTTATGACTCTGTACATTCAGGAAGTCTCTCAAGAAGCTCTCCATCAGTGCCTCATTCTACAGCCCGAAATACATTGCAAGAAGGAGGAAAGATGGTAAATGTCTCAGTCAGTACCTACGGGTCATCATCTCAGAGCAGTTCCCGCTCTCGGACACCTACCAGTCCTCTGGAGGAATTAACCAGCCTCTTCACCTCAGGACGAAGTCTCCTGAGGAAGTCCTCTAGTGGCAGAAGATCTAAGGAACCTGCAGAAAGTAAGTTCTTAATACAATTATTTTTCTCAGTCTTACTCATAGAATAACAACTTCCACTGTATTTTACTAAATCTAATACTTGGCAAAAAGCAAATACTGTAGAACTCTGAACTCCATATGTAATTGTCTTGTAACTAGAAGAAAAATGATTTTATTAAAACTGTGAATGTTGTTGAAGTTAGCTTTTGTATTCTTATATCTTAAGGATTTTTGATCGTGTACCACACTACAAAATCTTGTCAGACAGGTGTACAATTAACAGCTTGGTCTTGCAATAGGAGTCAGTTTTCATTAACTTTTCCATCATAGCCGTCCCACGTGAGTTGGGATCTTCTCAGGATCTCACCTTTTCAATTTTGCAATGGATGTTAAGGATGATTGTCTGAGCAACTTGTGATGAAATGTCTAGACAGTAGTTTCTTTGGGCCTCTACTGATCACCCTTAACTTTGCCAGTAATCACTATGTATATGGTGGAAACCTGAGGTACCAGCTTAAAGCATTCCTCCCCTCCCACTGACTCCTCCTGTCCTGTGCCACAGAATATCTCCTTCAGCTGTGACAGTGAGACTGTGAGACTGTGAATCAATATGAAAACCAACATGACCTAAAACACATTACCCACACACAGAGGAAAGTATGGGAGGAAATTGTGTAGAAAAGCCTTAAGCCAATATTGACTTTGAGTACGCTGTATCATAAAACCATTGTCCCATGTGCATACAGGTATACACACAAAGCACTTCTTCTGAACTAGTGAAATATGGAAGCTCCTAATGAAATTAGCAGGAGTCACAGGTGAGTGAAAACAGAATCTGGCACCAGTATTTCTCTTGAAAATAAGTGTTCCTGTTCAGTGGTCAAAAAGACAGTGTCTTCCAGTGGGACTCAGCCATAACATCTTTTGTCTGAGTGCAGAGTGTGCTCAGTATGCTTTCTCCTGTGACTTCCTTAAAATCACTTTATGACTTTGTAATCTTAATGCCTGCCTAACAGAAAAGCTCTTTTCAAAAAACAACCAATTTTACGTTTGTGCAAGTGCTACATTTTACCTATTTGTCAGCTGTAACATGACAGAGTGTAGTGGCTTTTGTCTGTTAGAAGAAGGTATTCTTGTTTCCAGGCTAATAAATTAATAGAGATCAGAGATGAATTTTCCACTGATTGCATTTACGCTGCTCTGTTGCATTACTGATAGCAGTGAGGTCAGGACTGAACTTCATCACTTTGGAGCATACTCAGGAGACTCACAAGAGCACTGCTCTGAGTATTCATGGACAATGCTCACCTGCTTCTCACCTCTGCTTTTTGATCACAGGCATCCCAGGCTGGTGTGGCCAGGTTACCTTGGTCTGCCTAATTCTGGTAATGCTCAGGTGAGCAGTGGTTGATCACAAGGTGCCTGTGGTACCAGTAAGTGCACTGGCATCTTTCTAACACGTCCCATTGGTAAGCAGCTCACTTGAGTCCTTTTTTATGAGGGATGTGTTTTGGCATTTATAAATAATTGTGTAGTGACGTGGTAAAGGCTGGATGTTGTATTGAGGGACATGGTTTAGTGGGAGCTATTGGGAATAGGTGAATGGTTGGACTCGGGTGATCTTTTAGGTCTTTTCCAACCTTGGTGATTCTATGATTCTATGATTCTATGGTAGAGAGATTCTGGCAAAGTGCAGACAAGCCTGAACATTAATAAACACAGTTCTTACTGCTAAGTCAGTAGAAATTCTCTCTAAACTCCAAATGCCAGAGCTAGCGTTGAGTCTCACAAATGTGATGATTTCACTCTTACTGATGTAGGCAGAAGTACTGGGTTTGGAAACTATGGAAATACTTGTGATGGATCTGCTGAGACCCGGGAAATTTCAGGAAATCAATGTGTGTCTTTCTCATACGTAACTCCAAAAAGATCTCTGTATTCCACTTGACTGAAATAGAATGCAGACTATCAAAGGGTATTTCAGTGATATATTTAAAATAAATCTTGCCCTGTGGATCTGCATCAAGAACAGCTTTGGTCTCTCAAGGAGCATTCTGATTCCTCCTTAGGAAGTAGAAATGTCCTGTCACTGGTAATAGTAATGTAATTAATAATGGTAATACAAAAGAGTAATGAAATAGAAACACTGTTCACTTATTTTAGGGACAAAGCATGCATTTTATAAATGTAGACTAGTGGTGAAAAGACTCTGGAGCGCAGCTGTGTTGAGTAAACGAACAGACTGCCCATCTAATCTGATTGTAATTCATCTGGTATTTACAGTATGACTTAATCTCATGGGATTACTGCACTGAGGAAGGATCAGGTTTGTGCTCAGATACTGTAGAGGTAGAAGTCCTTTTAAAATGCATTGAAAACACATATAGGGCTAACATTCCATGTCCTGCAATTTTGCATTGAAATGATCTACCATAAAACAAAACAGAACAAAAGAAAACCCTAAATTGTAGGATTTGAATGTAGAATCCAGCAAACTGTCACATTTATACATTGTGATAATATGTAGTGATAGCGAGCGCAGACTGGACTAATCATAAGATGTTTTGAAGAAGTCTTGCTCCTGTAAATCACACTGGAAGCTTAAAGTAATTCAGTTTTGGATTAGTTTTTTCAGCTATGGGAGAGCAAATGCATAGCATGGGACTTGCAGGGACTGCCATGTTTTTATACTTGTCACTTCAGTATAATTTGGTTTCAGCATAAAGAACAAATTCCAGAATCCAGAGGCTAATAAAGAAACAAAACAGAAGCTAAGTGGCTCTTATAAAACTGTGCTAGGAAACTAAGAATATGTGCTTCTAACTATGAAATTATTCTGAGCACATCTCATTGAATCCTCTAAGATTCAGCCCCCTGTGACTTGTCTGAAGCTCTCACTGCCATATGCTAGTCCCCCAAAAAAGCACAATCCTGCATTTTATATTCAGCTGAGTTTATTTGGAAAATATTGCAGCAGTTACAGAGAAAATTCTCTCTCATCTTTATTGTTATTACTGCAACTGACTTTGTGGAAATTTTGCACTTGAGTCCAAATTCAGAATTTATTCACTGTCTTTTAGTTTGTAACAATTTTGAGGGGGCTATTTCCTCTCAGTTAAAGCTGCCCTACTCCTCCTTTGTGTATTATTTTCTTTGTTCTGGCATTTTCCCCTTATTTTTCCCCTTCCATTTTATTATTGTAGAGTTCATTGGGATTAGATGAGTGGGAAATTGGGATAAATCAGTGATACAAAGGAGACGGCGACCTTAGGGCCACATTTTCTGAAAGACAGGAAATTCTGCTGAAGCCTCAGCCTGTTACTGAGCTCACTCAGCATCCACTGGCTGCAGTTGTGATGTGCATATCTAGATTTTATTGGCTGTTCACTTATTGTGCTGTGTTCTAGTAAAAGTTCTCTTGTGTGCTGTTAGCATCTTAAATATGCATTGAGGCACAATTATGAAGGTGGAAAGAGAAGAACAAAGGAAAATAAATTTTAAGGCCAAGTCAGATATGAAAATGTGGAATATGATCACAAAGAAAGGCAGAAAAATGGAGAGAAACCTACCAAAACTGAAGAAAGATGTCAAGTGCTTTTGTCAGATGTTCCCTTGTAAGTGTGCATATTGAGCAGCATGCATCTGTAGATACAGAAGTCATGAACTATCTGATCTGCTGGTATCAGCCCTTTAACACAGTGCCCATCACTAAGGAGTGCTCCTGTTTTGATGCGTGAGTGCCAATAATTGCTGTTGTGAGACAGAACTGAAAATAATGGAAGTGTAACCATGGGATTGACCATTTTTTGTCAACTTCCTTGAGGAACCAGGCTTTTGTAGGGGGAAAATAATAAAAAAGAATTTTGCGGTTGAATGGTCCTGAGTGCTGTTTCACTCATACCTGTTGTCCTTTTCCAGTAATCTCTAAATTACCAAGCATAAAAATGTGGGTAATGGATTAAATGCCTTACATGTACATATCAGCCAGTCTGGCCAGCTGGAGCCTCTTGTTAAAGCTGAAGTGTGTTCCCCCAATTAGCAGTCACAGGAAATAAGGGGTAAGGAAAGCTGTAACATGGCGGTAAGACCAATCAGCTGACCACTCGGAAGCAGGATAGCAATGTTGCCATGGTTTATGCCAAAAGTGAAGGACTGAGCTGAGGAACAAAGATACTAAGAAATGAAACGTGTGAAAGGATGCATGGCAGCTCTGCAGCAGGCTGTGTGTCTCCAGGTACCTTCACTACACTGTTACTGCCTCACTGAGCATGGCGTGCCAGCGATTCAGCACCAGGGATAATAGAATGTTTGGGATCTTCCCTTTTGAATGGCTAAATCGGCAGGTACCATTCCTTGATTGAAATGCAGGCTGTGCCATTTGTTTTCTTGCTGCTTTCCCTCAAAAGTGAGTATGGCTATTTAAAGTGCCTTTAATCATTCAAGCCACTGAAAAGTGGGATGTCCCCTCCATTTTTGAGATGAATGAATGTCTTTGTTACTTCTGGTTATTAAAACCAAAAAAACATGCATTTTGAGATGATATGCAGTGCTTTTGCTAATTGGTACTGTGACATAGTCTCTGCTTCTAATTCAGCAATTTAGGCTCATCAGAAAATCAGGTCCTCCTGGGATCATGACCATATACAGAATCATTGAAGAGGACATAATTTCATAAATAATTGCTCAGATTTTTTTGGAAACAGCTGCTGTTTCTGATTGATGTATATGGACTTATTTATTCCTTCTGTTTATATTATTTGACTGCACGAACAGTTTCTGCATAGCAATGTAATCAACATGTTTTTTTTATGAAGAAGAAATCAACTTGGAAAGAGTAAAAAAGAAAAATTAATAGCTCCTTTCTGTTTATTAGATTTCAAGTAAAAGATAATTTCAGGTGAAAGACTGAAAAAAGCCAGTTTCTCTAGTTTTTCTTATCATATCGGACAATGTGGGTTGTCCAAAAGTTGTTAAAAACAAAGGAAGAAGGTTCTTTAAATTTGATTACTGGCACCTACTTA